TGTATTCTGTCATCCTTGAACGTTCTGAGCCGTCACTCCTTCTGGGGTTGCTTCTGATGATTTTCTCTCTTGGCAGTGCCTGAGAGCAGAGGTGACCCAGAATGTGCAACCGACTGCTTTAGGTTCTTCTTTCCTCTCTGGGGTCCCTGGAGTCCTGGCTTCTAAAATAGCCCAGAATTTCAGATGTAGGCATCTGGTCCCATGGTTGGCCGAACCTCTGCTCAGCCTCTCGGCCTGTTGGAGGCCGTTTTCTGCGAGCCTCCTCAGCCTCTCAACCCAAGCCCCTTACCACGCAGCAGCTGCCTCAGGGAGGAGAGATGGGTCCGACGTCCTGCTTGTCCCTCTTCTGTCTGGGGTCCTGGCTTGCCTGTTCAGGTCCCACTACCCTGAGAGCTCTTCGATGTTTTTACATCTGAAAGAAAACGTTCTCTAGCTCTGTAGTTCTCAGTGGGAAGACTGGTTGTCAATAAGCTGGTTGTTTTCTAACCCTTTATGCTTTTAAGTCACAGATTTATTTATTTATTTATTTATTGGTGGGGAGTTGTTTATTTTCACAAAATAATCTAACAGATTCTCAATGGTGTTCGGGGGCCCTTGGGAGCCTGTGGTTCATTAAAAGAGAATGTAGCTGTGGGTTTCACTCCCAGGAGGTCCCTGCAGGAGCCTCTCGCTCTGAGCTCGGCTGGTGCCTGTGGGTCGTCCAGAGGCCGCCCATGGAGACAATGCCTCCCGAGTTCGGAGACCCACCTATTGTCCTGTGGGTTTGTGAAGCGGCACTGTCTCCACCACATCACGAGGCCCGTCTTGTCCCTCCGATGAGCAGCGGCGGCTGCAGCTCTCAGGATCGGCATCATCCATTTCTTTATTTTTAATTTTAATCTGCATTTGTTTCGCGTTATGAAAGGAATACACCGTCATTTATCAAAAAATTGCAGAACACAGTAAAAAGTGAAAACTCGCCCACCCCTCCTTGCTTTGGTAAGGACTAGCGGCATGACACGGTTTAAGCTCTCTCGCCTTACGAACACTGACGTAGCTGTGTGTTTTAAGACAGGGTAGAGTGTATACAGTGTGGTGCTCTTTTCACTTAGAGCTGCGTTGCTGATACCTCTCTCTGGTCAACATCTACCTTGTTCTCTTTAATTTTTCAGATTGTTTTTAAACTTGCCAGAGGGCACACGTGCTCACTAGAAAGCGAGAGCTCACCTCCCGATGGAAGTGGTCACACCGCAGTCCCTTTTCCTCCATCTCTCTCTCCTGCCAGGATTTGGGCACACATACACACACACCTGGCATGTTTTTCAAGTTGCCAGGGCCGGGACTTGAACCACGGTCAGCCATGTGGGATCCAGCTCACCATGCACAGCACTTAACTACTGCACTATGTGGCTGGCCTGTTTTTATTTTTTTTACTGTGGGGAAGGGACAGGTACCCCCAACAAGATCTTGAAATGTCACCATCCTCCCTGCAGCCAGGATCCCAGGGGTGTACGGGCACCATCTTCTCTCTAGCCAGGATCTCAGGGGTACACGGGAACCGTCCCCCTGCAGCCAGGATCCCAGGGGTGCACGGGCATTGTCCTCCCTCCAGCCAGGATCCCAGGGGTGCATGGGCACCGTCCCCCCTGCAGCCAGGATCCCAGGGGTGTATGGGCATCGTCCTCCCTCCAGCCAGGATCCCAGGGGTGCAGTAGCACCATCCTCCCTCCAGCCAGGATCCCAGGGGTGTATGGGCACACCTAGTGTGTTCAGGTCCCCTGGGATCGAGACCCTGGCCTTCCGTGGGCTCCAGTACCACACAGCGATGCCTGATGCCAGCGCCACCTTGGCGGGCCCTACCTTGTCCTTTTGAAAGGCTGTATAGTACTTCATTGTATGACGCGCCATCACAAACTAAAGAAACGTTAGTGGGCATTTACCGCGTATGATTTAATGTGCAGCACTGTTAAAAGTTCCCTCAGAAAATAGCAGTTACATTTGTCCTATTACCTTTCAGTCAATTCTGTTGTTAGCAGGACTTGAATACCACTTCCGCCTGTAACACAGAAGCGGGTGCCTTGTAGACATGGTGCCCGTGCCCCTGCAGGATGAATGAAGGGAAAACCAATGAATCCCGGCCTCATACGAAGTGCGTGATCCCGTGGTGGGGAAGAAGTCTCCAGGGAGGTGGCATTCTGACAACAGTGATATAGCGGTGACAAGGACGCACGGTTGAAGATGAACAGGAAGAGGTTGTGTCACCAAACATATGGGTTAAAAAAAAGAGCAAGATCTGGGGTCTAGCAGGTGGTGTGGTGTATAAGATGCTGGACACTCCCACATGGCTGACCACGGTTCAAGTCCTGGACCTGGTGGCTTGCTTTCTCACTTTCTCTCTCCCTCTCTCTCTCTCTCTGTGTATGTCTGGTTAAATCAAATTTTTAAAAATAAATGAATTAATGAATAAAATTAATTCGTTTTTTTAAAAAGCAAGATATCTAGTTATTATTTTATATAACATGCTTTAAAATATAAAACTAAATTTTAAAAATATGACAGTTAATATTTGAACACTTTATTCTGACCAAAAATCATATATTCTAATTGGCTGATTTTTCAAGTTGCCAGGGCCGGGACTTGAACCACGGTCAGCCATGTGGGATCCAGCTCACCATGCACAGCACTTAACTACTGCACTATGTGGCTGGCCTGTTTTTATTTTTTTTACTGTGGGGAAGGGACAGGTACCCCCAACAAGATCTTGAAATGTCACCATCCTCCCTGCAGCCAGGATCCCAGGGGTGTACGGGCACCATCTTCTCTCTAGCCAGGATCTCAGGGGTACACGGGAACCGTCCCCCTGCAGCCAGGATCCCAGGGGTGCACGGGCATTGTCCTCCCTCCAGCCAGGATCCCAGGGGTGCATGGGCACCGTCCCCCCTGCAGCCAGGATCCCAGGGGTGTATGGGCATCGTCCTCCCTCCAGCCAGGATCCCAGGGGTGCAGTAGCACCATCCTCCCTCCAGCCAGGATCCCAGGGGTGTATGGGCACACCTAGTGTGTTCAGGTCCCCTGGGATCGAGACCCTGGCCTTCCGTGGGCTCCAGTACCACACAGCGATGCCTGATGCCAGCGCCACCTTGGCGGGCCCTACCTTGTCCTTTTGAAAGGCTGTATAGTACTTCATTGTATGACGCGCCATCACAAACTAAAGAAACGTTAGTGGGCATTTACCGCGTATGATTTAATGTGCAGCACTGTTAAAAGTTCCCTCAGAAAATAGCAGTTACATTTGTCCTATTACCTTTCAGTCAATTCTGTTGTTAGCAGGACTTGAATACCACTTCCGCCTGTAACACAGAAGCGGGTGCCTTGTAGACATGGTGCCCGTGCCCCTGCAGGATGAATGAAGGGAAAACCAATGAATCCCGGCCTCATACGAAGTGCGTGATCCCGTGGTGGGGAAGAAGTCTCCAGGGAGGTGGCATTCTGACAACAGTGATATAGCGGTGACAAGGACGCACGGTTGAAGATGAACAGGAAGAGGTTGTGTCACCAAACATATGGGTTAAAAAAAAGAGCAAGATCTGGGGTCTAGCAGGTGGTGTGGTGTATAAGATGCTGGACACTCCCACATGGCTGACCACGGTTCAAGTCCTGGACCTGGTGGCTTGCTTTCTCACTTTCTCTCTCCCTCTCTCTCTCTCTCTGTGTATGTCTGGTTAAATCAAATTTTTAAAAATAAATGAATTAATGAATAAAATTAATTCGTTTTTTTAAAAAGCAAGATATCTAGTTATTATTTTATATAACATGCTTTAAAATATAAAACTAAATTTTAAAAATATGACAGTTAATATTTGAACACTTTATTCTGACCAAAAATCATATATTCTAATTGGCTGAGAGAGGGAATAAAACAACTAAGCCCCTTTCCTGGAGCCTGTGCACTTGGCTCCCTGTGTCCGGGTTTATCTGGAAAGCGCTGTCAGTGAGGATGACCACGTCAGCATCTTGTGCCCGTGGTCGAGCTACCCTCAGGAAGCTCAGCGGTTCCCCCAGGGCAGAGGGAGCGACTCCCGAGACCAGCCCCGAAGGCAGCTGTATTTCTGGCCTTTCTCCTGGAACCGGCTTGGGCCTTCAGGGCGGAGAGAGACCATAGCAGGTCCCAGGTGCCGCAGGGCAGGAGGGGTGCTGGACCTCAGGTATAGACACCCCCCCCCCCTGCATTGCTTCCTCTAGCCTGTCTGGTGAGCCGGCCTGAGGTCGGAGAAGCTAAGGCCAACCTTGGCCTCACAGCTAAGACCCCCCACGTAGGGCAGGTGGGGCTGAGGCCAGGCGCCGTGCGGTGGGGGGCTACTCTTTCCTGGGCTCGGACCTCAGGGTTGCTCACATTGCCGGGAAGCTCTGGCCACACCTGAGTTCACTCGGCTCAGCCAGGTGGGGCTGTGCTGGAGGGGCGGGCCTGGCGGTCGGGCAGGTGGTCGGGCAGGTGGTCAGATGGCCAGTTGAGGCTGTCAGGAGTGGCCGTGTCATCGTCCCGAAAGCTCATTACCATCTCCAGGTGCCTCGTGCAGGACTTGTCTCCCAGCTTGTCACAGCTTCGCCATCGAGTCACCTCCACTGTCTCTCTCCGGTGTCAGAGTGCCAGGAGGGTGGCTGTGTCCTGGTCACGTTTACACAACCTGCTCTAAGGCCTGACCAGAGCTGCCAGCGGACACAAGCCAGCGAAAATTCCCCACAGGAAAGCTGCAGAAGGGCAGCCTGAAATCCAAGCAATACAGTTCACTTAGGAGGTAAATGACAAGAGAGGTATGTGTGCATATGCATGTTGCACGTGCACGCACACACATATGCACACGCCCGCACACGTGCATGCATGTATGTATAGGACATGTGCACACGTGTGTGTTTCATGAAACTCATTTTATTGTCTTCTCTACAGTGTCCTTTTCAGGCATAGAAATACACATGTAAATAAAATGTTGAGTGTTCGCCCTCCGGCAACGCATGGTGGGCAGGGGTGGGGGAGCGGTCCTTGATAAAGCCCTGGAAACGCAATGGCTCTGGGCCGCAATCTTACTTCTGCTGACTGTGGGTCAACTGCGAAGCTCTTCCCTGGGCCTGCTTGGCAGATCCATTTGGCCAGCTGGTGGCTCGGCTGGGCTGGGGAGCGAGGATGACCTCAATGCACCCTGGCAGGTGGCAGCTGGTTGGTCTGGGGCTCTCACTGGGGACAGCCCATCCCTTTTGCACCTGGCCTCTCATCCTCCAGGAGGCCAGCGGGCTCCCTCACGTGGTTGTCTCGGGGCCCTAGTGTGCATGAGCAATTGCAGACCTCCCATTGCTTCTGCCATTCTTCCATCGGCTCAGACCAAGCACACAGCCAAGAAGGGGCTGATTCGAGGCGTGGGTACAAGCGAGCACGAATGGCTGGGGTCTTCCTCCATTGTCCACCCGGGAGGGCAAGAAGAGAGGACCTGTTCTTTGAGCAACAGGATACAAATAAAATTTGGGGAAAAAAAGTCCTGTGTAACCCCCAAGATGGACAAGCAGTGGCCAGTTTAGAAGGGACCTGAGAGAAGCACCCTCTCTGACCAAAAGGCTCAGCTCTGGGCTTTTCCTGGCCCCTCCGCCAACTCACACACCACAGGCTCAGACATATGTGACCCGAGAGGTCCAGAGGGCATGGACGTAGCCATGGCCAGCACTCATGAGTGGGTACACGCGGATGGCCTTGGGGTGCATGGCACACCCCTCCAGATCTCTAGCTGTGTCATCACACCTCTTACTGTGGATCCACACTAACGCCTGCCTTTAAGCACATCCTAGTGTGTCTGGAGGCTTCAGGGAACAGTGGGTCAGAGAGCCCTGGGGACCGAGTGTCCCTCCTGTGCAGAGAGGACCCCTTCCCAGCTCCCCAGCTCCCTGGGATGCTGAATGGAGAGGGAAACAAGGAAGGGCAGGCCCCTGGCCGCACACTCACACACAGGGCCATCGAATCCCCGCCCTGCAGGCCCCTGGTCGCACACTCATGTACCGGGTCTTTGAATCCCCGTCCTGCAGGTCCCTGGCCGCACACACACACACACACACTCACACACACATACACACGGGGCCATCTAATCCCCGCCCTGCAGGCTCCTGGGACCTCTTCTGCCAGTGGAGGTCTCTGCTCGGGGCACGGCCTGGCTTGACCTAAATACAGTAGAGGGAGCCAGGACGACAGAATCTTCCCAAAGTAAACAAAATATGTTTCAAATTGTTTGCTTCTCCCAGTAATCTGTGTTGCTCTCCCCTGGTCCCTTCCAGCCCCTGTCTGGTATGTATCAATAACAGTGATTATAGGCAATCATGGCTTTATTATTTTTTAAAATAACAACCATTCTTTAAAAAACACCTACTGTGGTTTTTACACCTAAAGCAGGGCTGGTAGCACCTGTGGTCCCAGCGACTCTGCAGGCTGAGGCAGGAGGACGGCAACATTGCGAGACCCTGTGTGAAAAGAACAAGGCAGAACAGCCTAAACGGCCTCATGCAGAGACAGCCACGAGTGAGGAGGTTGCGGAGGGAGAGCCATTATGCTAGGTCAGGTCCGGCAGTCATGATGGATTTTTCTACGAAAAACCCAGTAGGAGGGGAGGACAGGCAGGTGTAGGGACAGGGCCTGCAGGTGGGGAGACTCAGCCAGGTGAAGACCTGCTTCCTGGGATCAAGGAGAGACAAAAGCTAGGGATTGCGGCGTGGCCATCCCCCGGGGGAGAGGGGTGATTTCTCACTTTCTGTCTCTCTGTCTCTTTCTGTCTGTCTGGCGAGCGCACGGGCCCTGTGCAAAAACCTCTCCAAGAAAAAAAAGAGAACGGAGAGACAAAAGCTCAAGGAACGTCTCCCTGAGCTAACGCTCCTTGTATTCATTACAATTGTGACACGTTTCCCCAGACTTAGGGGGTTCGATGAGGCAACCGTTTATTATTCACAGTGTCTTTGTCAGGAAATCCCGGAGCCGCGTCACTGGGCAGTTCCAGGTTGGGCTTGGCTGTGAGACTGCTGTCCAGGCCAGGCTCGCGTCATCCCCTGGGGCCTGAGGTTTGCTCCCAAGGGGCTCCTTCGTGTGCTGAGCCAGTGGGTGCTGGCCCTTGGCTGGAGGCCTCAGCTCCTCCCAGGGCTCTCCTGGGTCCCCTCTGGGGAAAGGGAAGGATGCAGGAAGAGCAGGGTGGGAGCTGTGACTGAGCCTCAGAGGCCACGGCCATCGGGACAGAGCAAGACAGAGGAAGGCCAGGTGCGTCTTTCTTTTACTGTTGTCAGAAGCTGCGGAGTCATGTTTGTATTTTTAGCCACGCACAGGAATCTGCTCCCACCTAAGAATGGGGGGGCACTCACCCAATTAACATAAGAAAGGCAATGAATTAGGGTCTAATATGTGCCTGGTGAGCCTGATGGCGGTCTTGTTTTCGCTTTTTAAAAGAACTATTTATATCATTTTATTACTTATTATTTAATTTGCTATAGGGCACGTGCACTCACCAGAGAGAGACATGGTGGGGGCTGGGAGTGAGAAAGCAAGCCTCTTAGTCTAGGACTCGAACAACGGTCGGCCATGTGGAAGTCCAGTGCCATAACCACCACGCCACCTGCTGTTCCCTGGCAGGGCTCTGGACAGGCAGTTTCATCTGGTGCCCAGAGAAAACTATGGAGCACCTTCATCCCTGGGGCACCGCTAGCCACACCTGGGGCTGGCAGTCCAGGAAAGAGAACAGAAAGGCTGCTGGGGCTGCTGCTCCCCAGGGATGGAGGCACCCCAGAGTTTTCTGCTGGCAGCAGACAAGACTGCCAGTCCAGGCCAGCAGCTGGCACTGTCCTAGAGCCCTGGGCATCATGGGGACCGTCCTCAAGCGATCACTGCAGGCCTGCTCCACCTGCGAAGGGCAGAGGAATGGGCTCTTATCTGTGGAATCCCTGGGCCCCAAACCAGCCTGGCCTCCTGGGAGTCCTGCCCACCTTAATCACGCGTTTCTTCATTGCCACCACCACCATCACATCCTCCTCAGATGTCATTGTCGTCCTCACACCGTTGTCACCATCATTACTATCACTGTGGAGGTTTCCACCTGCCCCAGGCACCTTGCTGAATTCATCACGCGGTTACCTGGTTACCTTGTTGGGGTTACCCTTCAGCACAGCCCAGGGGAGCAGCCACTAAGATGGTCCTGCTTCACAGAGGAGTAAACTGAGGCCCAGTGAGATCTGGGCCTGCCCTCCGAGGTGGGTAATCCTGAGGGCACCACGGCCACCTGCCAGAGGGGAGGAGAGGTGCCTGGAGCTTGGGCCCACCTCCCAGCCCACCGTTTTGTCCTGTTCTGTTTTCTTTTTTTTTTAAATAGACCCTTTCTGAACAGAAGCAGAGGTTTCTTTCGACTCTTTACTCGGTGGATGAAAATTGGGTGTGAATATCCACAGATCTCAAGGAGTGGGGTCTGTGCAGAGATAGGAGGGTTTGGGGGTGCAGTTCTTAGTCTCCTGGGGCACACTGGCCATCTGGAGCTTGTACAGGACCCCAGCTTCATGCTTACCATCTCCGTGACCTTGAGTGGGGCCCAGAGGCAACCCCTCATCAGTCCACGGAGGTGGATGAGGTCTGACGGGCGTGGAGGGAACTGCACAGGAAGCAGTGCCCGTGTCCTCTGCATGCCCGCCTTGCCATGTGCTGGAGCCCCGGGGCTGCTGTAACCAAGGAGCATGATGTCAGTGGTTGGGACAGCGGAGGCTTAGTCTGCCTGCCCCACGGCCCGCTGACATCTGCAGCAGCAGCCCCTCGGGCACCTGGGAGAGAACCCTTTCTCACTCCTGCGGCTGCGCAGTCCTTAGCTTGAGGCCACGTCATTCCAGGGTCAGCCTCCGGTCACGTGGTCCCCCTCCTCCTGTCTGTAGTCTCCCCCGCCTCTCTCTGCTAAGGACACCTGTGACTGGCCTGCGGGCCCACCTGGATACTCCGGGATGACCTCATCTCAAGATCCTCAACATTCCCAAAGTCTGTCCCCAAACGAAGTCACAGCCACAGGTCTGAGAAGTGGGTGTGGTCATATCTTTGGGGACCATTCACCCGACTACGCGCCCCTGCTGGAAGTACACTGTGTCCTGGCTATTCCTGGGAGAAGTGAGAGCCCGTGCCCTTGGCCTCCTGGGCCTCTGCAGCCCGGTCTCGACCCCTCGCTCACTTTCCTATCTGCTGTAACCTTGCAAAGCGCGAGTCTACCGGCCGTAATCATCGTCACCGTCCTCTTCGCCATCGATGTCACTACGGACACCTTCCAGGAGGCGGTACTGTCCGAGAAGAGCCCTGACAGAGAAGTCACCAACCGCCCTTGTGAGTCTGCTTTGACTCTGGCCTGTTGACAGCCGACCGAATGTTCCCGGGCCTCAGTGTCCCACTCTGCTCGCGTGACAATCCACTTACGAGTTGGTGCAGCACGATGGCCTTAGGGAAGGGTAAACGTTTGTCCTCCCTGCTCGTCTACGGGCTCGTGCAGAGGATGCAGCGCGAGGCAAGATGAAAAGCACCCGGGTAAATGGCAGAGCTGGAGGCTGAGCAGGTGCGTGACAATTCTTATCCCCGGGATTTGGCCACCCGGATGCTGGGATGGGCTCGAGTCTCCTGAGAAGAACTTGGCATTCGTGACGACTCAGTCCCCTTCGCTTCTGGAGAGAAAAGCGGGCCACTGTTGAGGTGGAACCACGCAGAGGCGGCCCCTTGAACCTGCTCTCGTGGGCTCAGAGCTGGCTCGCTCGCTGCCGTTTGACCCCTGGTGCTGGCGTCCTTGCCGAAGACATCCATGGCATCTGGGCCAGGAAGGGGCTCTGGATCCAAGCCATACCCCATAGCCTCTGCTCTGGGAGCAGACCACCTGCAAAGGAGGGCAGTGGCACCAGAGACCGTCCTGGTGACCCCCAAGCCGTTGGCGCTGGCACTCAACAGGGTGGGGCTCTGCTGCAGTATCGTGGTCAATTCCTGTGACTTGGCCAGGCAGGACCTGAATCCCACAGGGGATGAGGCATTGAGGCCACCTCCCCCCAATTCCCACCGTGGTCGACTGGGAAGACCTGGGATAGGAACTTGGGGGATCCGGGGGGCTGCCTGAGCATCCACTCAGAGCCTCGTCTTGGGGTCCACCCTCCATGGGGCCGCCTGCTCCTTGCGTACCCACGTTGGTGTCCCCCACCCCAGTCCAGGTCCCTTAGTATCTCGTAAAAGTCCCGCTTTATGTTTAGACATTTTTGTAAGTGGAAAAATAGCATAACACCATTAAATATGGAGCCCATCTTGGGGGGACAGAGCCCACCTGGATGATAGAGCCCATCTGGGGGGGATGGAACCCATCTGGGGGATAGAGCCCATCTTGGGGGGATGGAGCCCACCTGGGGGATGGAGACCACCCAGGGGGATGGAGCCCATCTGGGGGGCATGGAGCCCACCTGGGGGGGATGGAGCCCACCTGGGGGGACAGAGCCCACCTGGGGGGGTCAGAGCCCATCTCGGGAGGATGGAGCCCATCTCAGGGGGACAGAGCCCATTTGGGGAGACTGCGATGAGCTCAGCTCTGAATCACGGGGAGTGATGGCCGCATGGGACATCTGGGGAGAGAGATGGAGGTGCAGGCTCGTCCCGGGAGAGGTGGGTGTTACCGGTAATTGAAATCAGGGCGCGAAGGTTTGCTGGAGCAGACTTCACGCTGTGCGCCAAGGTTTGCTGTACAGACAAGCGGCTGTGAGCTGGTGTGAGCCGTCACTCAGTCCTCAGTGGTCATTGCGATGTCACTTTGGGGCTCTCCGTGCACCACCTGTCTGGACGAACGAGGGCCCCAGGATAGGAGTGTGGGTGGCGGGCAGAGTTTTCGGGGTAAGTTGGGCCAAGTCTGGCGGAGGTGGGGGCAGAGGGTGGCCAGCTTCGGTGAGGGCAGAGATGAGGGGAAGGAGGCATAGGGGACCAGTAAGAGGGGCATGCTCTGGGGGGGGTTCACGGGTAAACACCACCTGCTTCCTGCTGCTGCCGGGTGGCACCCACTCAGACCCTGCACGCCCGTGTGCCCGACAGGGCGCTATCTCACGTGTGCACAGCTGAGGAGGGGTCGGCTGCTTGGAGAAGATCCGTGAACGAGAGGCAGGTGCCTCTGTCTGCCCAGCCCCCTCAGGTTTTCTGAAGAAGAGGGCAGGCTGCTCTCCCCTCCCTTCCCCTGCCTTGCGCTTTAGCCATTTCCTCTGAACTCCCACCCCTCGGCTCCTATTTGCCAAGGGAGCAAGCGTCTTCCAAGGGGTCTGACCTTTCCCGAGGATAGGTCTGTGGACCCCAATGGCAAGCTAGTCCCCCACTGCAGAGAGAGCATCTTTGAACCTAGAGGGTGGCTGGAGTCCTGTTAGCACCCCGGAACTCACTGGAGCCCACGTCCCCCCAGCAGGACTGAGGCTGCTTCAGAGGCCCTGGTTCCTTGCAGACCTCAGGAAGGAGGCCTGAGAGGAGCTGGGGGTCAGGGGTCGACGTTTTTGAACCTTAAGAAGAGAATCAGACCTTTTGGAAAAGGGTGTTTTTGTCCACAGAAGTGTGAGGCTTTCTAGGATTTTCTTTTTTCTTTCATGCCCCCATTTGCCCAGTGGGGGGTCCCTTCCCTGACTTCTCTCCTCATTCGCCTCCTCTTCTGTATTTTCTTTTCAAACCTCTGTGCCCAGCTCCCATCATGAAAAGTGCTGTGTGTGTCCGGGCGCCTTAAAAAGGCAGCTCGCGGCTCCCTGGCTGTGGTCCTCCCTTGTTTCCCTGGCAACCGGAGGCAGGGAAAACAGAACCTGTCAGATGGAAAATGTCAGTTACCACAGATCTGGGAGAGCGGGAAGAAGGGGTGGGGTGGAGGCAGGCAGGGGAGAAGAGGGGGGAGAGCTGGCAAGAGAGCTCACCCTCCTGCCCCTGGGCTGGTGCTCTCACCCGGGCAGCTAGTGGGCAAGGAGTTTTTGTGAGTGAGAGGGCTGCAGGGGAGGAGAGGGGAGGGGGCTGCCTAACCGGCTGAGCCAGCTGATTACCACATTGGTCTCTGGGCTAATGCGGGCTGCCTGGGGGCCAGCAATGCTTCCCCGGAGTCCCTGGGAGACCCATTGCGAATGCGAGCTCTGGTCTGCGCTGCAGAAGGTGGGGCCCTGGGAAGAACAAGATAGCGAACCCCTGCCCTCTGAGGATGTCTGAGTCTACTCCCTCCACCCTCACCCTTCCTATTGATCCCTGTGCCCTGCCTCGTATCAATTGATCGATGCCCCTGCTGAAAAGAGGAACTGCCCTTTAAAACGGCTGGGAAACAGCTTCAGACAGAGCGTTAATATTAATCTAAACAGCCCCCTCTCAGAAGGGCGCGGGGAAGATGGAAAGGGACGGAGGTTTGTGGAACAGGCAGGAGAACGAGGGCCAGTAGTCTGGAGGCAGGGAGGTGTGGGGTGCTCCTGAGAGCAGGGAGGGTGTGCAGGCATGCGAGTGCGTGTGCCCGTGTGAGCAGGAGGGTGTGCGTGCGCCAGTGTGTGGGTGTGTGGGTGATGGGCAACCGCGCTCTGCCGTTTCTTGCTGTTGTTCTCGGCAATTACTGGGGACTTCTCAATCTTCTGATTTCTGGGGATGACTCTGGGCCCCCTGGGCCACAGCCCAGTGGACCTGAGAGAGAGTCAGGGGAGTTCGGCTGAGGTCCACAGGCAGCAGCGTCCCCACTGGGCTTGGGGAGCTATTCAGATGGTGTGTGTTTAAAATAGAGAACTACATGGAGAGGGGTCGGGCTCCACAGGAGGAGGCGGAAGCTGGTCTGTGGCTCACCAGCCAAGGGATGCGAGGAGGCAGACGGGCCCCAGAGTGCCAGGTTCCCTTGAGGGAGATGGGGAGGTCGAGAGTGAACCTTCTAGGATATTTCTAACCGCAGGCTCCTCTCATTGGCCCTGTGAGGTCTGAGATGTGGCCTCCGGTTGCCTGTTACAGGGGTGTGGGTGTGGGTGGGTGGGTCCAGCCCATAAAGCTGCCTTCGTTTTTGGGGGAGACTGAAATAAGCTTGCCCTTCTGACATAAGGAATGCCATGTTCTTCAAGCCCTGGCTGGGTCCAATTCAAGGGCATCTCTTTTGGCTTCTAGGGCAACCTTGAACATTTATGGCCACCTTTATACCCAAACCTTCATACCTTACACTCCTGTAAAGGAGGCGTGACCCCGAATATAAGACGAAAACGTAGCCATGCAGCCATGACCAACAGCAGCCGACACCCAGACTTTCGGCCTTAGTCACGAGCTATGAAGTTCTCAGGTTTAAGCAGCAGAAGAGAAGAACAAGTTCGTTCTTCGCCGACCTCCTGGTTCCAAGCCTGGCTTCTCCCTCTACAGTGTCCTTCCCTTCCAGCGCTTTCTGGGTGGGAATCCTGCCCTTTCCTCCATTTTTCCTCCTGGGCCCAGGGACCTGAGCAAGGACCCCACGGTTGTGGCTGTCGCTGGTCGGGAGTTCTCAGCAGCTGGAGGTGCTTGCCGGCCCATGCGGTGCTCGGGCCGAGGACAGGCACTGGGCTGGTGACAGTGGTAAATCACCAGCCCACGTGCCTCACTTCAAGACCATATGGACCTTCTCGTCAGGCTGAGACATTTTTCATCTTGATTGACAATTACCTTCCCCCAGAAGTTCAGGGAAGCCCGGCTGCAATGGCACCGTGTACCATAAAACCAGGGAAACGAAACGGGAGTCATTATTTGATGAATATGGTCCGTGGCAGCTGGCTGAGGAGGTAATCTTTATTCCCACTGCTCCTGCGTGTTATTATTTTACTAAGAGTTAACTCTCCATTATCCACACATGAGCCCAAGAGACGATTTTTATTCCCACAGCTGTTAGCTCTTATTATTTTATTATTATTGGTTGGGCTTCTCCCCAGGCTCCATTCGGGCCAGGATAAAGGGTCCTTACCTGCTCACGCGTTTCTGAACTAGCCCCCTCGAATTATGTGCAGTAAATGTTTGTGATCTTGAGGTTGCTACTCCTTTCTCCAGGGGTGGAGGGTATTGTTTCATTACGACCCAATACAGTTTCTCTCTAGTTTACCATTTTAACCCTTGCAAAGCCAAGCTTCAGCAGCACATGCACGACATGGCACCCCCATCACCTCTCTCCAGTTCCAAAACGCGTTTATAACCCCAAAAGGAACCCCACGCTCATTAAGTAGCTCCGCTCTTGTCTTCCCTCCCTGTCACCCTTAGCCACCACCGGGCTGCCTCTGTCCACGGGTTTGCCTTTCTGGACACTTCGTGTAAGCAGAACCATGCGACGTATGATGACGTTGGTGACGTCATCTCTCACCTAGCACGGTGTCGCCCAGCCTTGCGGGCGTCGCGGCATCCGTCAGCATCGAGGGGATGCCGACACTGTTTCCCATCCATCACTGATGCCCTGGGCCGCTCCCACTGCTGCAGCTGTGGCCAGCACTGCTGGCACATCACGTGTGCTTTTTTGCTCGAACATCCGCCCTCGTTACTGAAGGTACTTCCTGGGAGTGGAATTGCCGGGTCATATGGCGGTTCTGGGCTACCTTGTTAATGCAACTGTCAAACTGTTTCACATGTCGGATTTGGCCGACTACACCATTTTGAAACCCAGCGGCAGGGTCTGAGGACTCCCACGTCCCGCGTCCTCTGACACAACACATGTCAGCTGGGGTTTTGCTCGGCCAACTGCTGTCTGTGTGGCAAGCAGGGTGTTCAAGGTCACCTCTGACCATTTGCCATGCTTTGGCACAGGTGCCTGTCTCCTGCCGGGGTGCCTTTGCACGGGACAGGAGGTGGAGGAGGGTGTTAGCAGGAGCGTTACTAATCCCCACAGGCTGGGAACTGGGGTGCTGCGGCCACCCACAGACGCAGGCTCACCTAGGAGCCCCACTGGGTAGGAGGCCTTGACAGGGCCACAGAGGGCTTGGGCTTTTGAGCTGGACTCCCTGCCCACCATTACCTGTGTGCCTGGCCTGGCCGAGCTGCGGGGAGCAGACCTGTGTGCACCCCACATGGGCTCTTGACCTTCCCTCTGTTACTTGAGCACCTTGGGCTCACCGAGTTGGGGTCCAGCAGGTGGGGGTGCGGCACGAGAAGTGCCGAGTTGTGCTCCTGGGACAACCGGAAGCCAGCAAGCTTGGTGTCCCCCACTGAGCTGTCTCCCGGAGTTCCCCAGCTGGGGGGAGCTGCCGCTGCCGATGGTGGTAACTGTGAATAAGGTACTTCAGTGGTCACCTCCCTGCTCTGTCTCATGTCCCCCACACCTGGATCCCTTCCTCAGTAAATGACTTGCACCGACTCTTCACCTCCTGGAGAAGCCCGCCGCGGCCCGCACAGCTGAGCCCGTGCCTGAACTGGCTTCCATGTGTGAAGTGAGGGGCACAGATCTGGGCACAGGCGAGCCCTCGGTATCAGGGGCCCTCGCCGCTGTTGGCATGGGTAGCCGTGACTCCGGTAGTTAGTCTGCGGGGCCACTCACCCCTCTTAGGGAAAGGGAGCGGCGACAGAGACGGGCAGCTTGAGTTTAGCACAGCTTGTTCCCCAGGGAGAGTTTGGCCACGCACGTGCACTGCCCAGGCAAGCATCGGGGAGCAGCCTGCGGCCTGAAGGCTTTGCCCACCTCGACGATTGTTTTCTGAGGCTGAGTTGTAGGTGAGCAGCTTCCCCTCTGAGCCTGCTTTCTGGTGGGGCAGGGAAGGCCATGGGTGTGGCCATGCTGGTCTGGGGCAAACGTGGGCTTCAGAGCATCCGCAGAGGCACCCTCAGCCCTCAGCGGTGGAGATGGGAGGCGGCCCTGCTTATTAGCCATTCTGATAGGGGAAGCTCGCTGGGGGGACGTGGCCTGGTGCTATTGGCGAGCACGTGCTTGGGCAGAGCAAGAGGGGCTCAGCGGGGTCCTCACTAGACCCCCTCGCAGGACGGGACTGCCAGCCCGAGCCCAGGCTTAGAAGGGGCGCATCTCACCGGGCCCACCCTCGCACATTCTTCCTCTCCTTCTCGTGTGTCAGAGCACCCGAATGAAAATGCCTGCCCTTTAAAGATGGAACTTTGTTTAATTTTTAAATTTTTAGGTACTTATTTATTGGACATGTGTGCACCTGCGTGTGTGCGTGAGAGAGAGAGAGAGAGAGAGAGGAAGCACCCCCTAATGAGGCGTGGTCACACTGTGACCCCTTTTCCCCATTTCTCTGCCCTGCCAGGATTTGGCGCATGCACTTGCACCCAGCGTGTTTTTCAAGCCGCCCAGGGCCAGGGTTCAAACTGTGGTCAGCCACTTGGGATTTTCCCCTCCTTTCTTCTAATTGTTTTCTTTGTTTTGACTATAGGGCACATATGCTTGCCAGAGAGAGACAGAGACAAGAGAAAGAGAAAGTGAGAACTCACTCCTGGGGGGAAGGCCATGCTGCAATTTCTTCTCCTCCATTTTCCTCTAGGGATTCTGGACACATGCACTCACATACCCAGCATGATTTTTAGCCACTGGGTCTGGGATTTGAACCATGGAGCTGGCTATGAGGGATCCAGCTGCCTTAACCTCCATGCCACCTGCTGGCCTGGGGATCTAACTTTACGCACAGTACTTATGCACTGTTTTATGGGGCTGGCCCAAAAGATAGGATATTTTGGACAGGGCTTTCAGACCTTGCAGCCCTCAGCAGGTTCCTCCCCTGAGACTCAGTTACCATCGGTCAAGGCAGAGTTGAGGCAACCAGGGCAGAGTGACCAGTGGTTCCCTCTCTGCTCAAGTTTTGGTTCTGGTTCTTCTGGGGGGCTCAAAGAGGGGCAGGGGAGGCAGAAAGGAGACAGACAAACGACCTGCCTGTAGCGTAGGTCAGTCTGTAGCCCCCAGGTCACCTCCTCTGCCCTCAGCAGGCATGGATCAGGGCTGTTTACCAAGCATCCTGGGAGAATGAGAGGGGGCCAAGTTTGTCCTGCAGCCTCCTTTTCCTCCCACCTCGTAAATCTGTATTGCGTGGAGGAAGCTCAAGTTCCACCCAGCCTGCGGTCTCCTGTGACTGCTGTGTTCTCATGACCTGCTTACCCATAGGGAGACAAACACGCTGGGTTCCCCCGGACCTGCCCTCAGCCCCAACTCTGGCTCCTGCTCAGACTTGCCAGGGACCCAGCCCATGGCTGGTCAGTTCCATGCATCGTCACCAGTCCTCTGTCCTTCTTTTATAGCTGCCCCAGCAGGCCAGTGTGGCATGCATGTGTGGGTGGGCCTGCTGAATAGAGGCCAGCCATGGTCCCCTTTCCTGCCTGGATGCAGGGCTGCGTAAGAGAGTGCAGGTGACTCACGCTCTGGCTGCCAGGGCCGTTGGGCAGGGAAATACCTGCACCGTACCCATTCCGTGCACTCCTGGTTCGTCCTGCTTGCAGCGTGCCAAGCAGCGCTGTAAACATACCTTTTAAACCAAGGGTAAAGGGTCTGGGTTCATCGTGCTCCTGCCCCGTGTCCCCCCTGCATCCAAGGCTGTCCTGGTCCCAGGTGCCTGCAGCTGGACCTCCGGTCGGGTCCCTGTGACTCAGCGTCAACCTAACTACTGGGCTGGCTGGGAACATGAGTTCTGGACTGTGGGGCCGAATTCTTCTCCACACTCTCTTCAAGGTCTTTATATAAATACCCACTTTATGGCTGTCACCTACTCCATCACAGGGACCCATCAGGTGAACCAGCCGAGCCCATAAATTATGGCACAAACCATTCCAAACAATAAAGGCAATTTTACTTACTGAACCATTAAATTTACATACTTAAATTAGACCCAACCAGACGTGTGCAGGGCTGTCTTGGGGCAGGCAAACAATGAGTTTGGAGGAAGTGCTGCTCATGTTCCCCCTACATGAAATTAATGAGGTGCTTCAGTTTAATCATCATTGCAATCGCGTCTTTATTTAGTTACTTAGCTGGGTTTGACCTGACGTCTTGGGCAGCCTTGGAGTCCCCCGTTGGCCCTGGGCTGTCCTGGCAGCAGCTGAGGTCAACAGGAAGCCGGGCAGCGAGGGGCTGCTGTAGGCTGGGGATGTGCAGGGCATGTGGGCTCGTCTACTAACGCTGCCTATGGTTTTCTCTTACCTGGAGATCACAGCTGGTGTTTGGCCACACATCCTGAACCCCAAGACGTTTAAACACATAGTGTAAAAATGAGGTGGTTTACATTTTTTGTGTGCCAAGCTTGTGAAGTCCGGTGTATTTTGCACGCATGGCACCTCTCAACTTGGACTGGCCTCATTTCGAGCACCCAGGAGCCACGTGTGGCTGGCTGCTGTCTAATTGGGACGAGCAGATGTTGACTGACGTCGGGAGATTCCCTGGTGGAGAAAGTATCCTGAATCCTCTGGTTTGTCATCCCTCCAATTAGGCATGCTGTGGGAGGCAGGAGCTGGCCAGCACCAGCCGTCCTCCCTGCACAATACCCAGGGCCCGGCCAGCAGACGGGGAGAAGTGCCGTGTGCCCTCAGGAGTCTCAGCTGCAGCTTGTCGGCACTAAATATGCAGGCTCCGCAGAGGCGTCAGAAGAGTAATTCATCCGCTCTGGGGACATCAGGACACCTTAAAAGAAGGAGCCCATTGACACTCCTGCGAGGATCTGAGAGGCAGGCTCCTTCTCTGGAGTCCTCTGGGAGAGCCGGGGTCGGGATGCCATGGGGCTGTGCCCATCACAATGAAGCAGAGGCTGGCACACAGCCGGCAGCCGCCAGATACCCTGGCAGCAGCAGCAGCAGTTGCTCACACACATCGTGATTAATGGCTGGGTACCCTGGTGTGAAAGCCATTTTAAAAACGGCATTGTTGTCATGGACAGTGTTCCACATGTCGTAAAGGTCATATGTGATAAGAGCATTATCTGTATTCTGGGGCAAACATGCTTAACCTTGTAGAGCGCATTCCCCGGCAGATCTGCGCTCCGTCTCCGCGCATCAGAGCCCCGATAGCGTGGATTCTTTGCCAAAAGGGATGAAAGGCCACAGCAATGGCACCATGCGGGGGCTTCAGACAATGCAGAGAATTGGCTGCTGGGCTCTCGCTGTGTTGGGGGCAGAGGGCGTGAGGCCCCACAGCTTGTGAAAAGCTGCCAGGAACAGAGATGTCTTCTGAACGTGGTGGCGGCTCTCTCGCCAGCTTTGACTTCTTCTGGCCTTCCCCATCAAGCTGGGGATTGGAGGAAGGGAGAGGACTCATCTCAAGCCTCAGCTGCCCAGGGTGGTGCATGTCCCTCTGACAGGTATATATCCTCTAAGGGAATCTAGAAGTGCCTTCTGTCTGCCTGATAAGAACAGGTCATACTAAAAAACAAATTAGAGAATATGGAAGGCAGATAGCTGGACAACTGGTCTACCTGCCTAGACCGGAGGCCCGTGATGTGCAATGTCTTGACCTGGGGGCTGTGGGAAATTCTGCAAAATGAAGCCAATCTCAGTCTCATCTGCTCATGGCCCAAGTCTGAACAGTGATGGGCCAGGGAGGATGG